TTTTTTTTTTTTTTTTTTTTTTCATAAATGGCATACATGAGATGATCTCGAGAAAATCTTTAACTTGAAGAGATCATGTTAGTTATCTCTAGGGTTGTTTGACTCCTTTTTCTCTACCCAAGGATATATACTGTGAGCCGTTCTTATTTCTCTCTTACCTACTTATATAGCGTTTCTTTCAAAAATCTCTCTCTGCCCTTGTTTTCTAAAACCTTCTCTTAAAACCGAGGCCAGAGGCTCGAGCATACGTCGCTTGGCCGTAGGCGACGCAAGAACGAATTGGCTTAACTCACTTGTCGTTGGAAAATAAGTGCCGCACAATCGCAAGTCTACTGCCATCCAAAGTACATGTCTTTTATGATAATATTATTATTTTTTATTATATGAAAATCCAAAAGGAACTAACGAAACATATAAATTACGCAAAATTAAAAGAAAATTTACTCGACTAATTTACAGAAATAAGTAATCCATAAAAAATAAAAAATAAAAATAATTACCATAATAATAATTTGAAGAACATATTTGAAGAACAAAGATTCACTTTTAGCATTTTTATATGTTGCAAAAAGAAAAGGAATCAATAATAATAATTATTATTATTTGTTTTTTTATGATTTTTTTACATAATTTATTTTGCCTTTTCTCTGACATATACTTTTTTTCCACTTTATAAGAATTTCCCGAGGAAAAAAAAGGAAAAAAAACCATTATTCCCATTTTTTAATTTTCCATAAATGGCCATAACATCATGAATCCATGATTCATACATACATGTATGAATAAACTCATACATCCATTCATATGATGCCATGAGTATGCCACATGCGAATGCTCTGCTACCAACGAGGCCGCTTCCTCTGAAATTTCTCTCTCTGTTCTCCCGCTATAAGTACTCTCCCTCTCGAGGCGGTTTCCCATCTCTAATTTCGATTCAATTTTGAAATTCAGACGAAAAAACCATCTGGGTCATAATGGGCGAGGTGATTCACCTCGATTCTCGCTCTGTTTCTCTTCTTCACTGCAGTTTTAGGGTTAACTGTTAACAGTTTTTGTTCTGTATGTGTTCATCGTTCTTTTT